AGTAGTTTTTTGCTTGCAAATGGTTTTTCTAGAGGAAGAGTTGATACCACCTTGTTTGTGAAAAACAAAGGCCAAGATATACTAATTGTCCAAATCTATGTTGATGATATTGTGTTTGGTGTTACTAATGATTTTCTTTGTCAAGAGTTTTCCAAAGCTATGCAAGGTGAATTTGAAATGAGCACGATGGGTGAGCTTAACTTCTTCTTGGGACTTCAAATCAAACAATCCAAAGAAGGCATCTTCATCAACCAAAGCAAGTATACGAAGGAAATGCTTAAGAAGTTTGGCATGGAGACTTGTAAGGCAATAGCTACTCCTATGAGCACTTCAATTAATCTAGACAAGGATGAAGGAGGTAAGCCTATTGATCCCAAACTTTATAGAAGCATGATTGGTTCCTTACTTTATTTAACTGCAAGTAGACCGGATATAATGTTTAGTGTTTGTTTGTGTGCTAGATTTCAAGCTTGTCCTAAGGAGTCACACTTAATTGCGGTTAAAAGAGTCTTTAGGTACCTAAAGGATACTCCCAACCTTGGTTTATGGTATCCTAAGGGTTCTTCCTTAGACTTATATTCATATTCGGATGCGGACTATGCGGGTTGTAGGATTGATAGAAAAAGTACAAGTGGAACTTGTCAATTTTTTGGTAATATGCTCATATCATGGTTTTCCAAAAAGCAAAATAGTGTTGCTTTATCTACAACCGAGGCCGAATACATAGCCACCGCAAGTTGTTGCGCTCAAGTGTTGTGGATGAAACAACAAATTTTGGATTTTGGCATTACTATGGATCATATTCCTATTAAATGTGACAGTACTAGTGCTATCAATCTCACTAAAAATCCCATCCAACATTCTCGCACCAAGCACATAGAAATTAGGCACCATTTTATTAGGGATCATGTAGCTAATGGTGATGTTGATTTATTATTTGTTGACACTAAAAATCAATTAGCTAATATTTTTACAAAGCTTCTTGATTGTGATAGGTTTTTCTTCATTAGAAATGAGCTTGGTATGTTAGATCCTAGTGCTTGATATGATTCTTGAAATTAATGAATTTGCTTATTAAAATTTGTGCATATTGATTACTTTGATATGTGTACCTTGATTATATTCATGATATTTGATGATGCATACATTGATATATGACTAAAGTTGCATTATTTAGTAGTTGATGTCCAATTTAAACTTAGTTAAATGAAGAAATATCAAATTAAGATGCACTGTCTTCAAATTAAAACAACCCCAAACCTTCTGTTTGTCCCAATCAAGGCCAGTAGAGCCGACTCAACCATTTTCATAGCGGGCTCCACCCAAAAACCCGAGAGTCTTCTCTCTCTAAAGTTAAGCCGGCTCCAAGACTAGAGCCGGCTCTCCTGCAGCTTTTTAACTCATTTAGGTTTCTCTCTCCTCGCACAAACCAGCCTAACCTTGGCATGACTTTTGGTATTGATTGTCTATGATTTTGATGATTATATGCTCTTATTGAGGGGGAGTTTATTGGTTGATGATTGTATTCATGACTTTGGTTGTCTATGGTGCTATATTGACGATGATTGATGATTATATTCATTACATATTCTTGATGCTTTAAAGGTTGATAGCATGAATTAAGGGGGAATTTATTGCTTATATTTATATACTTTTTGATGAATGACAAAAAGGGGGAGAAAGTATGCTGAATTCTCATAATTTTCTAGAATGTCTTAATGTCTTAATGTCATTTTCTTGGTGCTAAAATTTTGAGGTTAATATTGAAATATATATGCTTTCATGATCAAAGTGTTTTGTCATCATCAAAAAGGGGGAGATTGTTGTACCTATGATTTTGATGATTACAAAACACATTTGAACGACTAATTGATTTATTTAAGTGTGTCGTTAAATTGCCAATATACTGCAAAGTAAGCAAAATGAGATTGCATGAAAAAGGGCTCAAAAGGCAAAAATGTGCAGAGAGCCGACTTAAGAAAATTACAGCCGGCTCTGGGAAGCAAAAGTGCAGAAAGTCAGCTGCAGATTTTGTTGAGCCGGTTTTACCGGCAAGAAATTCAACTACTGTTTTTGGCGCTTGCGGAAAATGGAAGCAAAGCCGGCTCTAACTTTATAGCCGGCTATGAGGGCACATTTAATCCACAACGGTCGACTCTTTTGAAGAATATTTAATGTATTTAAAGTCGGAGTTCCAAAGCCGACTCAAAGTCTTGCAACTGGCTCTCGAGAAAAACAGAATGTTCAGGAATCTCGTAAAGCCGGCTGCAGAAATGGTGAGCCAGCTGTTCAGAGCCGGTTGTGGGGAGCTAAGCCGGCTTTCCTGACAATTCTACAACTCGACTTTTGCGTCCTGCAGAGCATTTAATGACCCCCAACGACTAGTAACGGCTATTTTCGACCATGGGGTTATAAATATGATTGGTAACAGATCTGAAGAAGGTTAAAGAGCATTGTATTGAATATCTTTACCTACTTACATGAGCTTTAACTTGAGTTTTTGATCTTTGAGAGATCTTTGTTTGTAATCCTCTTCTTGTGCTATTAGTGAGTGATCTTGGGGGTGTGTTGATTCCTTCAAGAGTAATCTGTAGAGAGGATCTTTGGGGTTTAAGTGTAAAGAGGTGAGATTTGAGAGAAACCCTTCTTCTTGTAAAGGATTGAGTGGCTCCTTTAAGCCACCATTGTTTTTGTTAGTGGAGAGTGTGGAAGAAATCCTTGGTGAGTGAAGCCAAGGTAAAGGATTAGGCTCAAAGTGGTTGAACTGAACCTCTATAAAATCATTGTGCAAGCTCTTCTTCTCAACTCTCTCTTTAATTTTTGTTTGGTGGTTGAAAAGATGTGAAAATTCTCCAACTCCAATTCACCCTCCTCTTGGAATGCATTGAGTCAACAAAAGCTTCTTTTTTACCAACCTTATAGAATCATTTCAGTGCATGAGCGTTCAAATTAAGTGAGGTACTGTTTGTTTGGTTTTTTTTTTTTTTCCTGATAATCTAACTCCCATGATTTTTAGAAATTAGAGGATTTACTTCAATGGGAAGTCATGTTGTCCCCTTGGCACTAATCCATTCCTTTTTTTTTTTTTTTTAGTTTTTCCTTTTGTGTTCCTTAAACATAGAGGTGAATGTGAGTCGAAAAACCATATAAATCATTATGAATACAAGAGTTTTGTAACGTCCATTGGTTCGCGGAAAATAATATGCAGTGGGAAAATATTTTCTAGATTATTTTTTAATGTTTGGAACAATTTGAAAAAAAAAAATTAAAGGAAAATATTTTTTGTTGTTTGGTAAGCAATTAAAAAAACTGGAAATTTTAACATAATCTTGATCAATTCTGGTAGCCCTTATCAATCCTGTACATTTCTCCCATTTTTATCTTTGGTTAAATGCTAAATTTGGTCCCTCAACTTTAGTGAGTTGCACATTTTTGGTCCCTCAACAATTTTTTACACTTTTTTGATCCCTCAACTATACGAAATGCACTCCGTTAGTCCTTCTGTTAGATTGGGCCGTTAACCCTGCTTAGGTGGTATTTTTTATATTTTTTTTGATGACGTGGAGAGCAAAACTTAAAAATGTGATGATTTGCATAACACTTTTGCCATGTCACATGCCACATGACGGAACCGCACGAAATCCATCCAATGGGTCCCACATTACCATTAAGAATTGCTTCTTTCCCCATCGATTACTGTTTTTATTCTTTTCCGGTACTGTTTTCATTCTTTTCCGGTGCTCTTTCCATTTTTAAGATTTAAGTTGGACAAAACAAAACACACTGTTTCTATTCTTTTTCGGTGTTCTTTCCATTTTCAAGATTTAAGTTCGACAGAACAGAACCCAGCAAATACATTCCATGAAACTCAGCTCGATTCACTGAACTCAATTGCCCAAAAATCCCTGCAATTTAGATAATCTCTTGGCAAACAATCATATAACCAAAAAAAAAAACCAATTGCCCAAAAATCCCTCACAACAACCTGCAATTCA